ATACCACCACGTAAAAGGTGCAAATTTCTGAAGGGTTTATTAATTGGTTCACTGCATTTTGTATCATTCATCGGCTTTTCCAACATAGTAGCATTGTGCTCTAAAAATAGATACATCAGCGATTCATTTTCGAGACGCTAGAATCGTTTAAATTCTGAGGACCTCGAAACCAGAACTTCGAGGGCAGCATTCATTCCACAGTATTGCTATGAAAACAATCCTATTGCATGCGAAGGGGGTGTGGGGAAGATGGTCCCCAGCCAAGTTAGGAATGAACACCCTTCGGTAACCATATGGCGCTGTACCCATATAGAGGAATCAGAGAAGTGCAACTTCACTAGGACGTGACCAAAGAGGAATAATGATCTCTACGACTACACCTTAGCTGTATGCTGCACCCTCCACTGCTACATAATCGCAGGGAGTCGCATTCTCTTGAATTTTGAAGGCATTCTTCAATCCTAATATTTTCGGAATCGGCCAGCCATTCTTTGAAACCAAAGCGCATCCTTGTCTCGCCATCATTTCTCATTTAGACCACTCTTAGACGGCTTCCTGCCAAAACTATCGTGCAACATTGTAAAGGCTCTAGGTTCTGTCTTCGAGTGCTGTCACGCCCCTTGGAAGGATCACGCTACTTTGACACGTCCACACATCTACTTCCTTTCTTATCCCGAAACCTCGCCAGCAATCTGTTGACAAATCGAGTGTTTCCAAAGAATGTGCTCTTGAACAATAAGCGAGTCACCCACTGTGAAGAATTTAAAAGCACTTGCCTTGCTTGTCTTTTGTAGTAGACAAACATCATCCTTTATACTTAGCTTGTAACTGAAATGATCCAATTAAAAAGTCAATTGAATTTTTCCATATGTCATACCTGTATCCATCTTTGAGATTACTTATCTTCATTCTAGCATTTTCGTTAGGATTTCCCACATGGAATTCTTTCGAATTAGTCCCAGGCTGCTAAAACATGGACTGTTCTACTATACGGCTTCCAGCCTGAAGGGCAAAATTTGGAGGTTCACTTACAATGCATTGCTTGATGACCTTCCCGCTACCGTCCCACATCTGTGTTACTGAGTTTGCACGAGAAAGAGTACTGGAAGATTCACTCTGACTGCTGCCATATCGCCGGTCATCCGAGTGGTTTGAACGTGGTTCAGGATTAGTTAGTTTTTGAATTGCCTCGATTGTCCTGAATTGTTGATGAAGTACTACTCTCCGCAGGGTTGTAGTTCTCTGTTCATCGCATACGGTTGGTTACTAATGTAAGTGCTTTAGGAAATCAGCTTGCTCTCTCCAAAGTTCCACCTTCCTCCTAGCCATGCCCCATTGTATCTGTTTTATTGTGTATTTGAAGCTAACTTTTGGCTTTACCCACTACATGTCCCTGTTTGGGTGTTTACGTTGGCTAAACTGGTTTTGAGGCACTTATTATGTCCCATCTAGGCTTTTTTTTTTATTGACTGTGTCCCTTAAGATATCCTTGGGATCAGAAGTCATGCCAGAGAGGAATTTCGGAGACCTTTCTTTATCACAAATTGTGACTTTGAACAAGGTCTCAAGAAGATAAGTTCATCACGTGGTCCAACATTTCCGCCTTCAGTGTCTTCTTGCGAAACTCTAGTGGTGGAACATTCCAGCACTACACGCTTCCTTCCCCTTACCGCTGCCCTTCCGGAACACCTTCAGCCGTGATAGCGACACGATTGTCTTCCTTGTCAGGTATTCAACCTTTTCACATGGTATTCATTGCCCATGCATGCGTATGTGCCTACAATCCATTTTCGAAGTTGCTGCTTTCATTTCAAAAAATAATGCGAAATCTATTGATCAGAATGGTAAGTAGAACCATCTTTCTCTTTGAAAGAATGAAAGTGGTGAAGGTTTCATGTTTTTTTCCAGAAAAAGATTACACGATAACGAATGGCACAACGCCGGGACGACGGACGGGCAGGGTTCACAGCTAACGAATGATGCTGGACACGATATCACGCTTTTCAGATGGCTTCCAATTGCGAATAGAAAAGAAAACGCTCACCCCTCCGGTACACTGTAAATGACTTGATCCTTGCTGAGTCGTAGTCCTCTAGTATTCAGTTCTGCCATTGTGATAGGACTGCAAGCATATGCAAAACACCTCATGAACAACCCTCGGATATGTCGCTATTCACTGGATGTCTAGTAAACGGACCTTTCCTCATCGATTGGTTCTTTAACTATCTCAGCACTTGCTCTTCGGTATGTGTGTTTAGGAGTGTCTTTCGTGATGATTCCTTTCTTTAATAAAGCTATCTCGTCCAAAAAGCCACTGAAAACCCATTCCTCAGTAACTAGATTTAGGAATTAAAAATTACCAAGTGAAATAATAAGTCTTCTACGGTCTTCTAAGACCCTACAGTAGTCACTATGATGGACAGCGAGGGTTGCTGTCCTGCTTTGCGACGCTTCAGTGGTGCTTGGGAACGATTTTAAGCCAGGGGATAGACTTTTCTGCCTTTGCCACAGAAGAGAGGGGACAACAAGTTGGGTGAGATGATGGGCTCACTACAGTCGTGCAGAGCTCGGAATGTAGGGGGGGGGGGGGGGTATCACGAAAATGTATCTTGCTGAGAGAATGACAGAGCCCGGACAAGAGTGCGGAAAGGGGAGGGCGGTACATCTTGTTGGGTACGGCGAGAGCGACGCGATTGTCGGGAGAAGCACCCTAACGAAAAAGGGAGGGGACGTTGAGAAATGCTGAAAGCACATTCGAGCGCAGTACTCCCCCATCGCTTTTCCTTCAGATTATTAACTACTTTTAGTTCCTCATCTAAACTACTTGAGTATGTAAACATGCCTTTTGTTAGTTCCGGAGACGAGTGATTCAAAATCCATGCCTTGTTGATCTCTGTAGGGAATTGAGAACTCCTACAAATCATCAGAGTAGACGTACTGTAAAGACCTGGTTAGTATGGTTTTCACGGTTACATTTCTCCTATTCGTTAGGATCTTCCCGCATTCACAGAGTTGAAGTCTGACTTCATTCAAAGTCTTATCATTCATTCAACCACTCTGGCAAACGTGGAAATAAGGAATGACTAATGTGATTCAATCACTGCGTAATCATTAGCGCTGTTGTAGAGCTAGTACTACTTGTCTTGAGTAAAGCAAATGACGATAGTCAGAATTAAGAAAATCTTGGGAATTTAGTAAAAAATTCTGTCCTCGCAGTTTTATAAACCCCTTACCTGGCCGCTCCAACTCCACATCCTTCAAGGGAGCACAAGATTTTATGCCTAATCGTCCCTATTTGCGAAAAACTGCAGCCAACTTTCATGACTCTTTTGCGTTTTCTGGGACTGCAAACTAGTGGGAGCTCTTGATATATGTAAGCAGGAATAGAGAACCAGTTGTATTAATGAACACTTTCTTAATACTTTCTGCTGAAAAATGCGATTGAAATTCGAGAAACTCCTTACTTTATCGTCTTCAGCTGAGAATGCCACGTGACCAGAATCTTTTTCACTCTGTTTGCGTTTACTACCAGTTTTGGCCATCCCTATAAAAGAGAAGTAACAGGATATGGTGCACCTACGTACTGCAACCAACTTACCACGTTGGAACAAAGGCACAGATCAAATGAACCACCCAACTATTGAATATCAACAATATTGAATGATATCTTGATGACCGCCTCCTATCATTGCGTATGAAGCATTACCCGCCTCGCTATAGCCCTTATCAGCTGCCATGCACATTAAAGGCTTATAATGCCTCCTATCGTCTTGTTGTAAGCCACCGTAGACTTTGAAGGAATCCAAAGCACATTACAAGCCTTTTGTTCGAGCTTTTCTGATGACATGCTCTTTCTAATAAACGGCTTTCGTGTATACGATTATTGTATAATATTGGTACTTATTTTACAGCCGTAATAACCTGTGTGCTTACAAGGGAAGGATCCCAAGTCGAAGGGGCCATTTGAAATGAGACCTACACTGCTATACGTATTTTCTGATGCTGATTTCGAAACTGCATACAAAATCTGCCAAACGATTCTCTGACCGAAGTTATGAAGGTGGTCTCCGGAGAGCGAGAGTGAACAGGAGAAAGCACAAAAGACATGGTCGCCGATCGCCCAGCAGTGGCGGTTTGGAGTAGAGGTAAGCGTGACGCTTGATAGGCATGGGACCAAGGATCGGGTTTGTTGGGCGAAGCCGTTTTTACATTTTGCAGGACTTTTTCCTCCAGCTTGTGAAAATCCTTTTATGTTAGTTTTACCGCCTTCGGAGAGTTTTTGAATGCTCGAGGTGAACCGTCATCACCAAAACGGTCTTCCACTGCAAATGAGTTCCGTGCATCGAATGTGGAGGCTCAGGCGAGTAGAACGCACATGATGAGCAACCAATTGATGTTGGATTGGGTTCGACTATGCGTGGCTGCTCCGGACTCAAACATCAATGTTGCTGTACTGTACTGTACACTTGTGTACTTCCAATTCTGTGCTCCTAAAAGGTTTCTTTCTTGCTCATGGCATGCTGCCGGCTTCTTGAGCATACATCCAGGTGATTTTGTGGCACCTACACAGTTCCGCTTTCCATCTTATGCAGTAAGTGATTGTGAAGGAACAGCCTGCGGCCAAATTTTTTTTATTCGTTGCGCTCATGCGCTGTGAAGGCTTATTTTAAACGTTTCGTGCTAAATTATCACATCTGCTTATTATAGGTGAAAGTTATCCTACAGCGAATTTGGAATGCATAAGAACAGAGAACAGAGTTTTAGAGTAGATGTCAAGCGGTTGAAGTAGGAACTGACTCACCCCGTGTATTCAAGAGGTCGCCGAAGGTGCCAAAACTAACAAAAGATTTTTACAAGCTGGAGGAAAAAGTCCTGCAAAATGTAAAAACGGCTTCGCCCAACAAACCCGGTCTTTGGTCCCATGCCTATTAAGCGTCACGCCTACCTCTACTCCAAACCGCCACTGCTGAGCAGATCGGCGACCATGTCTTTTGTGCTTTCTCCTGTTCAGCGCTCCGCGGAGACCACCTTCATAACTTTGTCCGGAGAATCGTTTGGCAGATTTTGAATGCAGATTCGAAATCAGCATCAAAAAATACATATAGCAGTGTAGGTTTCATTTCAAATGGCCACTTCTACTTGGGATCCTTCCCTTGTTAGTTCGCCAAGTGTTGCAGTGTGTGTGTCGGCGTGTGTGTTTGTGTGTATGCGTAGGGCTGCGTCCATGGTCCGCGATTTGGCCCACGAACGACGGGGCAGCGCCTGCCCCTTGTTTACAACTGAGTCTTGGTCGATACCGCCGGATGAGTAGTCCCCGTTGCTCGCTGGCCAAATCGCGGATTATGAAAGCAGCCTATAGTAGTCTGGTGCAGAAACGCTTGTTTCATACACAAGAAGATATAGTCATACAACAGCGTATAGATCCGTAAGTATCCGTCAAGACTGACTGCTTTCATGTATGAAAGCAGCGAGTCTTGGCGGATACTTTACCAACGCTGTTGTATGACTGTAATAGCCGCCTTTAAATCCGTGACACCGGCGACGACATACCGTGGTTTGAAAGTATATATATATGTCCCGGCTTACATGCAGCCCAACAAAACGTAGCATCTGGATAGTAACAGAGATTCTCGAAAGG